TGCAACTATTCTCAAATTGGGCCTTGGGGTGCTGAAAGTGCTCAGAGAAACTGAGAGATTAACTCAAGGCCCACGAATGGGAAAAACCAAGGTTGGACTAGTGATCTCATTCTTCCCTGTAACATTCTGGGACAAAGGCACAAGGGGAGTTTGATCAAATCCTCCTATTGTAGAGCCCTGGTTGCTCTGCCCACTGAGTCCAGCTCCACCCAACACCAGACTCAGCAAGGCCTCTCCTTTGGGAAGACCTTTTTCTATGCTTGCTCCCACCAATCTACCCCCACAGGGTGAAAATTCCTAACCTGCCACACCCATCCACCCTCCAGGTCACCTTCACCCTTTTCTACACTCCTGGCTGAGCCTGCCTTGAGCCCTGGTCTCAGCCTTATCCATTTCTCACCTGGCTTTGGTTTTGGGTCAGCTGGAGCGCTGGGTGCTGCTTCTCCTGAACTGGGGGCTTCTCCTTCTGCTGCACATTGGTGAAGTTGGGGGGCTGAGGGGAGCCTTTGCCAGTGCCAGAGGAAGCTTCCGGAGACCCCAGTTTTTGACTGGGCTGTGTCCCAGGTCCACTTGGGGCTCCAGGGCTGAACTTAGAAGCCACAGGAGTAAACTTGGGAGCCACTGGAGAAAATTTTGGGGCTGGAGCAGGAGCTGGAGCTAGAGCAGGAGATGGAGATGGAGCCAGAGCCGGAGGACCCCAGGGCTGGGTGTTAGCGGAAGGCACAGGCTGGGCCTGGGGCTTGGCCTGGGGCTGGACGTGGAGCTGGACCTGAGGCTTGGGCTGGGACTGGACCTGGAACAGTGTCTGGCTCTGAGGCTGAGTCTGGGGCACAGGATGCGTGCTAGAAGGCACCTTCCAGGGAGGCAGGGGTGCTGTTCCCCCAGCTGCAGGCTTAGGACTGGGCTTGGGAATGAATGGAGTGGCAGTAGGCGGGGGCACATATCCAGAGGACACCTAGAGGCCGAGGAAGAGGGGAAAGATGTGCAGTTAGAGGCAGCTGTCTCCATAGTGCTGCTGTCTGGGCCCAGCATTTCCTGCCCATGCTGTCCCTTACCCGGGCTTTGAAGGGGTCGTTCTTGGTCATGTCATCCAGCAGCGAGGACAGAGAGTCGATCTCCAGGTCAATACTGCTCACCTTCTCCCTGGGCTAGAGAGTAAGGGTCAGGGGTCAGAGCACCCATCCATTGCCACCTGACTCCCAGCAGGGCAGAGGCCCAGAGATACGAGCAAAGCTCCTCCTCTATTTGGGCAGGGGAGAGGGGTCCTAACTGGGCTGCCGTTCCTCAGCTCGGCTAGTACCTGCGGTGGGACTGAGGTAGAGGCCTCAGGCCCTCCCTCCTCCTCCAACGGGGGCGGTGGGGAGGGGAAGATGTCTTCCTCCAGGGGCGCAGGTGGAAATGGCTCCTCGATAGGGGGCGGTGGGGGTGGGAAAGCACCCCCCAGGGCTCCCTCCGCTTCTTCGCCATCCCCAAGCACCGGAGGCGGGGGCAAGGGAAAGTCTGTGTAGAAAGGAGAAAGGAAGCCAGCGTCACTTTCCCCCATTTCCCACTTTTCCTAATTCTCCTCTGTAGCTCTGAAACCTTAAGCCCAAAAGTTTCTCGGGGTCACGGAGTGAGATGGGGGGCGGTCAGGATAGGCCGGGGCTCGGACGAAGAGGTGCGGCTCTCATTACACTGCGGAAAGCGAGTTCCGAGGGTCGATGCGTAGCCCACATTCCTGGCTCCCACCCCCAGGCGGGAGACTTGGAACGATCCCAGGAGCCCTGGCTCCCAGCCATGAGCTCCACGATGAGGTAAGAGCATCTGCTTTGGGACAGGGTGGCTGCGCCCAGCCCCCTCCGCCGCAACCTTTCCAGACACCCCCGAATCCCCAAAGCCGGGGTCTAGCCTGCCACCTCAGCCACGTACCTTCCGGGGGCGGCGGGGGGATCTCGCCCACCCGGCCTATCTGTGCGCGCTGGGCCCCGGCTGCCCCGGGAGGCTCGCTGTCCCCAAGTCGGAAAGGATTCACTTTGGGCTTTGGGGCCACCACCGGGGCAAACTTCTTCTGCGGGGCGTAGAAAGC